AATGTGAAATGTAATTTTTACAACAGCAATATGAAATATATTTTATAATAAAAGGATATGGCCTGGTTAAAAAAAAAAAAAAAAGAATCCTGTTGGGCTTAATTCAACTCAGTTGCAAGATTGGGGAGTTTCAAAGTAGAGAAAATAGGGACAATGTTCTGTCCCCGTCACACACACACACACAAACAGACAGCCAGGAGTTAATGAATCAAACAGTCAGGAATTCCTTTAAGATAACAGTCTTGGCAGCGAACCATGAGCTGCCTGCCAAGAGATTTTACTCACTAAGGGAGGTTTTTTCTCTTCAGTCCGATATACCAAATTAATTCCACAAAGCAAAGAATTGTCAAAATTCAGTCCAAAGAAATCCAAAAAGAGATTCTAACAGGGTTCTAGAAACACGATATGACTTCCGAGCTTTTCAATTTGTCCATCACAAGGCCTGAATAGCCGACACACCCCCTTTTATCCCTTGTGGGGTGTGGTCCAGTGACTCAGCTCAATCTCCCACCCCTCTTTCTCTGCTGCGCACGCTTATCCTTCCGACGCTGTCTGGGATCCAGCCAAAACTCATCCCCCTCGCTCTCTATCTGCGGCTTCTCTGAAGTGCCTTGCTCCTGGCATATCTCTTGGCCTTCGGAGGAAACCTGAGGCATTGCCAGAGAGGAGGGTCCTGGAGAGGGAGGCCTTGCCAAATCCTCTCCTTCACCTTCTGAGTCTTCTCCCTCTGTTAGGACAGGCTTGGGGGTCGGTGTCACAACAGACAGTGCATGAGGTTTTGTGACTTTTGTTGTATATAACTTTTAAAGGCAAAATAAGGCTATTGTGTTCAATGTTTCCTCCAGAACTGCTCATTTATTTGACTAAAAATCCAGTTAAATGTCACTTGGGGAAAAAATCAAGTGGATTTGAGGGTGGAATGTGGCCATTCTGAAATTTCCTCTACTATCTGATTAGGACAGGGGTTCCCACACTCTTCAATTCATCCATCCTTTTAGGAAATTTCAGATTGTCCATCAAAATCTGAAAATACTTTAATAAATGCTATTTTATAACAACCATAACAACAGCAATAATAGATAGTTCCATTGACTCTTGGAGAATCATAGATTACTTGTCACTTGAAAGATATCTCTTAAAAACCAGAACTTGGGTTTGGAGCTGGGGACTCAGAAAAGATGCACATTGGAAAAGACTTGCTCAGCTTAATGATGATGCGTAGAACATACAACAAAGAATCAAAGGGCTGGAAGGGAACTCAGAGGTCTTCCAGTCCCACCCCTTGCTCAAGGCAGGAGCACCATTCCAGTCAAATGCTTGTCCAATCTATTCTTGAATACATTTTAAAAGTCTATTTTTTTATTGAATAGACTTTAAAAGTTGACTTTAAAAGTCAAATATCTCAAGCAAGACTTCTTAACTTATAGCTAATGCCCCTACTCCATTTACTATTACTGATCTTAAATTCCTACTCTTGCAAATCCTTACTTCTGTCCAAACTTTCCTAAGCAGTATTGGCAGATTATATGTTACCAGGGCCGGATTTAGATGAAAAGAGGCCCTAGGCTATTCTACTTATGAGGCCCTTTCACCTATAGTGAAAGTGTAATTTTAATTTTGCTAACAATTTGAATGTAGGCCCCTCTTGATCTTGAGGCCCTAGGCTGAAGCCTAGTTAGCCTATAGGAAAATCCGGCCCTGTATGTTACGGTGCTGCATTGTTGGAGCACAGAGCATTCTTCTTTTGGGGAAGCTGGAAAGAGTGGAATTAGGGAATCCACACTTGCACATATTCTTCTCTTCTGTCCTGTGAACAGTTTAAATATTCTTTTCTAGGGCTAATACTTTCCTTCTAGTCATATCTGGATTATATGAATATCTCATTTTCTAGAGTGATGCAAAATGTTACTGTGAATATAAACCTTTCGCAAAATATTCAGAGTGATCAGAAACAGATTCTTTTCTCAACACTCTGTGTGCCTTCTGCTTTTTTAAAAACAAGCCTAAGGATATCAAGAAAAACATTATTTTATAATGTAGGCTCATAGTATCTTTGTTTTGAAGCTTTAAAGGAGTTGTAAATGTTTAAAATGTGATGGAGCAGGTTTGATTTCTCTGCCTTTTTCTCAGGAGTCATCTGACAGCCCTAGGCATGGAGCATGTGTCATTCTCCCAACTATTCTGTCATGCCGGTAGTCATAGCGACCATGACGATTGATTAGATACCATCTGATCTCAACCTCATAAAAAACACACATGCAGGCACACACCCACAAGAGGCAGCAGATGGCAACCAGGCCAGTAGGTCTGTCTCCAGAGACAGAGTGTGGGAGAGAAACAGGGATCATGAAGCAAGGTTGAAGAGAGGAGAGAAAGAAGAAAGAAGGGATGAACAGATAAACAAAGGGAAGGAAAGTCTGTGTTGGAATATTAGGCAAAGCATACCTAAGATGGATGAAAACAGAAGAGTTACTGTACATCCTGACAGAAAGAGCAATGTTATGATAAGAACAGTCAGAGTTTTGTTCTTTTTGAAGCAATCAGGAACACTGAATTTCAATACTTAACTGATATGCATAGTCTTTAGTTAAGAAGCAATATTCTTTAAAAACGTAATAAAAATGGCATGAACATATATTCATTATATTTTGAATTTTTTTTAAATGAAGGAATAACTATTTAGGTAAAGTTGTCATTTTTTTCTCTGCACCCTTTGTTAGTTCTCTTTTAATTTTAGGGCCAATGATACATCTTTAAAGCAACTAGCAAATGCATGACATTTGTTAAGAATACTTACAAATCACCAATAAGAAATTCCATTTTTATATGAATAATAGATTTGGGGACCCTAATCTGGATCCTAGGGGCAGGAATAGGGCAAAGGTTAGTCCACCCCCTGCGTTATTATCCTGAGTCAGATGGAAGGAGAGGTGAATCTCTCCACTTGGCTTTTCTTCTGTTTGTTTCTTTTCTTTTTTAAAGTATGCATTGCTCTATTTTTATAATAGTTGAAAATTTTTGAAAAAAAGAAGACCACAAAAGTATAGCATTATATAAGTATACATGTGCATCTTTATTTAAGTTTTTCTTAACGTATAATTTTTAAAAACATTTTCCTTAATTCAGTTATGTACATAATTTTCATTAATTATGGACATTTTGGTAAGAAATTTTAAAAAGTGGCCTATGTGGTTCAAAAATATCAATTTATTTCTGTTCATATTCACAAACATAATTTCTCCCTCAATTCTATATATATGCCTAATGGTATGAATGGTGTCATGATTATGTTGCTATTGTTAATTCAGGATGAAAACAAATCCCTTTACATATCAGAAGCATATGGTGTTTAGAAAACCTACAACTTACCAAAAATTGTTAGCTGTATAGAATTCAGATGAAATATTGTTTCTGAAAGTCAGATAATACTGATGCGGAATTAAATTGCCCCAATATTATATGCCCCATATTCTGCCAAAATAAGCTCCTCTGACTTCCTCACAACTTTCTTTTTCAAATGGGAGCAGAGTATAGCAATAGCACTTAGACTTATATACTGTTTCACAGTGCTTTACAACCCTCTCTAAGCAGTTTACAGAATCAGTATATTGCCCCCAACAATCTGGATTCTCATTTTTCCAACCTTGAAAGGATGGAAGGCTGAGTCAACCTTGAGCCAGCGGGAATTAAACTGCCGAATTGCTGGCAGCTGGCAGTTAGCAGAAGTAGCCTGCAGTACTGCATTCTAACCACTGTGCCACCACAGCTCAAGATAGCAGTTGAAGCCAATGTAAATATCGCTAAATAAATAAATAAATAAATAACTGAAAACATTCAAGAATACACAAACGAGATCGAAGGAATGACCATATAACAAGAAAGAATATAGACAATTGGCACAGATGGTGATGGAGATGGTGATAGGAAAGAGAAAGCTCAAAATGAACTGAGGTTGACAAAGGATGCTAAAGCTTTTTCAGTTTATATACTTTTGTAGATAAAAGTATCAATATACCAGCTTCTCAATGAAGACAACAAACTGCTAACAGGTAAGCAAAGAAAAGGCAGAGTCACTTAATTTCTATATTGGATCAGACTTCTGTGACAAGGAAGCATGTGGAAATTGTGAAGAGCACAATTAAATCTCCAGGGCAAAATGAAATGCATCCTAGGGCACTGAAGGTCCTAGCTGATGGCAAAACCCAAGAAATATAAACAGTTCTTTAGAAGATATTGAGCACAATGCCACAACATTCAGTCCTTGCCTTTTAGACTTCAATATTTTTATTATTTGGATGAACAGATGCAGAAAATACTTTTCAAATCATGCAGAATCTGCAAAGAGGGAGTCAGGAAAGCTAAGGCCCAGAATGACCTATGACTGGCAATTATTTATTTATTTATTTTATTTAGAAAATTTATATTGCTGCCTACTCACACATGGCGACTCAAGGCAGCTTACAAGGATATAAAAACAACATGCAAAAGAAAGAAAAATAATAAAATAATAACTACCCCCCACCCCAGCAACAACACACATTCATACTACCCATTTAATGGGCTCCATCCTGCTCTGACATAACCATGTCTTCAGGGCCTTCTGAAAGGATGTTCCAGAGAGAGGGAACAATTACAGAGAAGGCCCTTCTTCTGGGTTCACCAGATATATCTCCTTAGGGCTGGTGTCGGCAACCGCATGCAGCTCTTTCATCCCTCTGCTGCGGCTCCCTGTCACTCTGTCACAGCAGAGGGATGAAAGAGCTGTCACCCTGTCACGACAGTGGCGATGGCCAGAGCCTTAGTGTGGGAGCAAAGCACCGCTGCACTTGCCTTTCCGCACCTTCGTCACATACATTTGCTGTTGCTGCTTCTCACAGCGCCTTGCGCAGCACAGTGAAATTTAGCGTGCTTCACAATGGAGGAGGTGGGGTCCCCTCCTCCTGGAGCCCATTACAACAATGGAGCCACAATATAACCCTGCCCCACTCGGCTGGCACTCGCCTCCCAGATGTCAGTTGCTTTTCCTGCAGAGCTGCCGGTGTTGTGATGCCCTGCCTCCCCGCTGGCCAGCTGGTCTTCAGCACGCTGCTCCTGGGCTCATCGGCCTCTGGACATCAGATTCCCACTACACACACAGAGAGGGAGACAGACAGACAGACACAGAGAGAGAGATACAGAGAGAGGGGGAGAGGGGGAGATAGAGACGGAGAGACAGACATAGAGATATATATATAGAGAGAGAGAGGGAGAGAGAGAAGATGTCAAAAGGGTTTTATTCTTTCCAGTGTTTTTTAACAACCATTCTCTGCCCTAATGACTGGCTGGGTAGGCATGGCTAGGGGATCATGTGACTGAGTGGGAATGAGTGGCATTGAGTTAGCCACACCCACCCAGGGTTTGTGGCTCCCAGTGTTTTCTGTGGGAAACAGGTCCAAATGGCTCTTTGAGTGTTTAAGGTTGCAGAAATTGGTGAGAGAATACCTATCCACCAGTGGTGGGTTGCTCCCGGTTCGCACCGGTTCGCAAGAACCGATAGTAAAAATTTGTAGTAGTTCGGAGAACCGGTACTAACATTGGCTGGCCACGCCCCCAAACCGGTCCCTGGCCCAGTTTCCGCTTGCTTACCCCACCCACCTCATCAGAGGCTTTTTTTTTTTACTTTTAAAAGCATTTTTTCTACAACCTCTTTGGCCCGAAAAAATGCTTTTAAAAGTAAAAAAAAGCCTCTGATGATCGTGCAGCTCAGCTGGGATCGTCAGAGGCTTTTAAAAGCATTTTTTCTGCAATCTCTTCGGCCGAAGAGGTTGTAGAAAAAAAATGCCTTTTATTATTATTATTATTATTATTATTATTATTATTATTATTATTATTATTATTATTTCTATACCGCCCTTCTCCTGAAGGACTGAGGGCAGTGTACAGCCTATTAAAAGCACAAAGACAGACATCAATTAAAAATAATTAAAATTATTGAATAGTTTCGGCTCAAATTTAAAACCCCCAAAATTTAAAACACCTAATTTAAAATCATTACATTGATAGCCCGGCCTGACGAAACAGCAGGGTCTTGAGGGCACAGCGAAATACACGGAGGTCGGAGATCTTACGCATTTCTGGGGGCAGTTCATTCCACAGGGCAGGGGCTCCCACAGAGAAGGCCCTCCCCCTGGGTGTCGCCAGCCGACATAACTTGGCCGATGGCACTCTGAGGAGACCCTCTCTGTGGGAGCGGACTGGCCGGTGGGAGGCTATTGGTGGCAGAAGTCAGTCTCAAAGGTACCCGGGTCCTATGCCATGGAGCGCTTTAAAGGTGGTGACCAGCACCCTGAACCCGGAAGACCACTGGGAGCCAGTACAGCTCATGCAGGAGGGGTGTCACATGGGCACAACGGGTTGCGCCCATAACCACCCATGTGGCTGCATTCTGGACCAATTGGAGCCTCCGAGTGCTCTTCAAGGGGAGCCCCATGTAGAGAGCATTACAGTAGTCCAGCTGGGAGGTGACAAGGGCATGAGTGACCATGCGCAAGGCATCCTGGTCCAGAAAGGGCTGCAACTGGTGAATCAGGCGAACCTGATAAAAAGCCCCCCTGGCCACAGCCGTCATATGCTCTTCTAAAGACAGCCGTGCATCCAGGAGGACACCCAGATTGCGAGCCCTCTCTGTGGGGAGCAGAGATTCACCCCCAATAGTCAGCGATGGCACCAGCTGACTATATCGGGATGCCAGAAGCCACAGCCACTCGGTCTTGGAAGGGTTGAGTCTGAGCCTATTTCTCCCCATCCAGACCCGCACGGCCTCCAGGCTGTCAGGTTTCGGTGCTATCTTAAATGAGTTTCATTTTCAAGCGCAATCTCTCTAATGAAACATTTTTATTTAAGAACATAAAAAGCCGACAATCCTGATTTCATTTTTGCAGCCAAACTGGCCCCTCCTTCCAACCCCCTCCTCTTCCGCTCTCCAACCCCAATGTCCCATTGGCCATCATGCAAATCCATCTCTACCTCCCGGCACGTTCTTTTCACAGGAATGTAGCCCCCACCCTCGTCTCCCAGGAAACACTATCTGTACATACAAAACTAGGTAAAAGTTCATCTTGTTATGTCAGCGCTGGAAGAGAGCCTAATTTGGAACGCTGACATCTGGCCACTCTCCCTTCACTTCTGCGACATCACCTATCCCATAGGGAAAACACAACAAGATTAGTCTCATCAGCCCCTCCCCGGCTGTGCACCCCCCCTCCCGGCTTTCCCGGGTGGTCTGCATGGAATTTTGCTATAAGGCGATCAGCTTGGATGTTTGCGCTCTTCACCCAGGAAGCCTCTGACAATGGGTAACCCTTCCATTTAATTAAGTACTGGAGGCGCCCCCTGTGCCATCTTGAATCAAGAATCTGCTGCACCTCGTAGTGCGTTTGGCCCCCAACAACCAGGGGCCCAGGGGGTTCACGTGGAGTTGGCCTTAAAGTAGACCCCACTACAGGTTTTAGAAGGCTACTGTGAAAAACGGGGTGAATTTTCCCCAAAAGCCGTGGCAACTGCAATTGCACTGTAACGGGGTTGATTATTTTTATTATAGGAAATGGTCCTATAAATTTTGGGCCCAATTTCCTGCTCGGGAGGAAGGTAAACTTTCTCTCCCAGCTGAAATGGTCTTTGGGGAGTTCGGTGCTTGTCTGCTTGGTCCTTATAAGATTGAGCCGCCTTTGCCAGCGCCCTCTTAACATTTTCCCAAGTTTGTCTCAACATTGCCATCCAGTCGGTCAAACTGACTGAGGAAGGGGGCTCCCTCGGGTATTCTGGCATGGGAACAAAATCCATGCCACTCACTATTTTGAACGGGGTTAGCCCCGTGCTGCTGTGGACAGAATTATTATATGCAACCTCCGCAAAAGATAGGAGGTCTGCCCAATTGGACTGCTGGTAGTCGACGTAGCATCTTAAATACTGTTCTATCATAGCGTTCAGTCTTTCTGCCCCCCCATTGGTGCTCGGGTGAAATGCTGAGCTGAGCCCTTGGGATGAACCTATGGATCGTAGAAACTCCCTCCAGAACTTTGCTGTGAACTGGACCCCTCTGTCGGAAATGATTCTCCTGGGGACTCCATGTAGGCGGTAAATGTGTTTCAGGAACAGTTTGGATAACTGACGGGCTGAAGGCAGTCCACTACAAGGTATGAAGTGTGCCTGTTTGGAGAATAAGTCTATTACAGTCCAGATCACTGTATTTCCACTGCTCCTTGGTAGGTCTACTATAAAGTCCATTGCAATCTCCTCCCATGGTCTTGTTGGCTCAGCTACTGGTTGCAACAATCCAGGTGGGCACCCTGGCCTTGTCTTCATCGTGGCACAAATGGTGCAGCTTTTTACATAACTGTCCTTTCTCATGTGTGGCCACCAGAACTGCCTTCGTACTAGGTGCAGAGTCTTTAGGAACCCGAAGTGTCCTGCTGGTTTAACGTCGTGGCTCCTCTTGAGAATCAGGATGCGTAAACTCTGTGGGACATAGAGTTTTGTCCCCCTCCATGCTAGTTCATCTCTTTTTGTCAAGAGATGTTGATTGTCCCGATACCAGGGGTCGGTCAGCGTTTCATTTTTTAATTTTGCAGTTAAGTCACTTGCAAGTTGGCCTTGCTGGTCACGTCATTGCCGTCTGGTGATCACTTGGGCCGCAGCTTGGGTGGAGGGGATGATGGCATTCACTACCTGCTCCCGCTCACTGTTGTATTGGGGCATCCGGGAGAGGGCATCAGCCAGGAAATTTCTCCCTCCTGGGATGTGCTTAAGCTCAAAATTGAAACGATTGAAGTATTGTGCCCACCGCACTTGCCTGGGCGACAGTTTTCGTGGGGTTTTTAGAGCCTCTAGGTTTTTATGATCAGTCCAGACTTCAAATGGTTTCTGGCCTCCCTCTAGAAGGTGCCGCCAGGTCAACAAGGCCCACCTTACTGCAAACGCTTCCTTCTCCCACGCCGCCCATCGCCTCTCCGTATCGGTGAGTTTGCGGGAGATGTAGGCGCAGGGTTGTAGATCACCTTGGTTGTTCTTTTGGAGTAACACGGCTCCTACTGCCACATCACTTGCCTCTGCTTGGATGACAAAAGGCTGTTCTGGATCCGGGTGTTTTAAGACAGGTTCTTTCGCGAACAGTCCTTTTAGCATCTCAAATGCCTGTTGGCAGGTCAGGTCCCACTGTAGGGGTTGTCCCAGGCGAGGTTTCATCGCTGGGCTTCCTGTCTTTAGGAGGTCCATCAAAGGTTTGGCAATCTTCGCGAACGAGGGGATGAATTGTCTGTAGAAATTCGCAAAGCCTAGAAAACTTTGCAGTTGTCTGCGGGTGCGAGGGGGCTGCCATTGTAGAACTGATTGGACCTTGGCTGGGTCCATCTCTATCCCCTCATTTGATACTCGGTAGCCCAGGTAGTCTAGCCGTGATTGGTGGAAATCGCATTTTGGCAGTTTGACATATAGGTTTGCCCGTAGCAGTTTTTTCAGTACTTGGCGGACGAGGGGTATGTGTTCGTCTATGGTCTCCGTGTAGATAAGAATATCATCCAGGTAGACGAGGACCCCTTTGTAAAGGTGTTCATGTAAGACTTCGTTTATTAACTGCATGAATACTGCCGGGGCTCCTTGCAATCCAAAAGGCATTACTTTAAACTGGAAACTACCCAGGGGGCAGTTGAATGCTGTTTTCCATTCATCTCCTGCCTTTATGCGTACTCGGTAATAAGCTTCTCGAAGGTCTAGTTTGGTGAAAACCTTCCCTTTAGCTAGGTGGGCTAACATGTCTTTCATGAGGGGGAGGGGGTACAAGTTGTGTACGCAAACAGCGTTGATACTTTGAAAGTCGACTACCAGTCTCATGGAGCCGTCCTTTTTCTCTTTAAACATGACCGGCGCCGCTACCCTTGGTTTCACTGGCTCAATAAATCCCCTTTGTAAGTTTTTGTCTATGTAGTCCCGCATTTCCTGCATTTCTCGGGGCGTCATGGCATACATTTTAGGTTTGGGTAGTTTCGCTCCTGGGATAATCTCGATGGCACAATCGGTCTCGCGGTGGGGGGGCAGAATGTCACACTCGGCCTCACTGAATACCCCCGCAAGGTCTTGGTACTCCCTTGG